AAAAAAAAAAAACAATTGAGACACGTATTGAGTTTTACTATGTAACAAGCATTGACAAAAAGTTTTCAACTTTCGTTCTGAAAAGTTCACTGCATCGCGTGTTTAATACCGTGGCTATTGGCAGAAAGTTTCGACGCTTCGAAAAAAAATTTGCAATATCGAATTCATTGTGATGTTGATGATTGAAAAGAAAGCTTCATGTACAAAATTTTATATCCTAAATTTTTAGAGTTCCGCTCGATGTTTCAATCGATGAGCTGTTTGTAGTTTTAACTGCTTGATAAAAGAAAGACAAAATGTATTTTTAAACGGAGCATAATATTCGAGTGATTAAAATAATTTCAATGTTATTAAAATGTTTTATATTTCCAGGGTTTTCATTTTCAAAATTATTGACTACGGCGTTAATTACATTCATAATTCATGTACTTTATTATGAATTTGTTGCATTACGCTTTTGACATCAAGCATCATTTATTCATACTAAAATACGTAAACAATTGATAGAATGTATTACGTTCAATAGGAATAATATTATTATATGTCTATCCAACTTTAATGAAAGGTAATTTATTCGTAACAATACTGGGATATAATAATATAATTTAAATTAATTTTACTTTAATATATGCTTATCCAATTTGAAACAATTACGATTTACTTAATCGTATAAACTATAAATTAATATGTCGTATATTTTTAAAAATATGAATACGTTTACGCATGTTACATATCTTTTTATTGCAGGAAAGAAATTAAACGTTTGCGTAGACATGTATTTGCCAAAAACAATGAATTTATCCTCTCTTTCGCAATCCGCCTACACTTACACCTACGTCTATACAACGAAATACTTATATACTGTACACCCACGTGTCACCCTGTACTCTACAATCTACTAAAAAATTTTGATCAATCTTCATTTCAATATTCAAGAAATCAAAAAATTGTAGAGAGGGTATAAAATTATTATAATTACGTGTTTTACACGTTTACAAAACGTGTGAGAGGATATTGTTATTTTATTCATAAATAAAATATGAATTTACATAACTTTATAATGAAAATCCAGATTATGCATGTATACCATATAGGTATTATTTTAATTTTAAATTCAATTTATTTGAATATTCTTTGAATTTTATTAAATTTATGTATTAAAATTATATAATGTTGAAATTATTAAAATTATTTGCGAATTTTTTTTAAGAATTTAAGTTTTAAAGAAATTTTCTGAAAACTGTTACCTATATATGTGTGTTTCTTTTCCTTTAATAGATTACAATGTGTATCAAGATCAAAAGTATTGTAGGATAACATCCAACATATCATCAGTTAACTATTTTGTGCAATACTGTGCTGTAAGGAAAAGTAAGAAAAATTTCAATTATATACATAGTAAGTATAAGATGATGTAATTCAATGTAATTCTGAAGCGAAGTATGAAATTTATAATTGCCAGCAAAGTTTACAAGTTCTATCTTTTGCAGCTTTTAATTAAATTTATTTTTTTAGTATTAATGTTGAATCAAAGTATTCTCTCATTGTTTCAAAATTTTACAAATTAAAATGAAACAAAATATTTCCTGACATTTACGATCTGCAAGATAAAGTATTCCTTTGTTTTTTTTAAAGAAGTTATGAAATTCCTATGAAATCATTGTTTTCTCTATCATTGAAAAGTTAAAGTTGTTTTTAAAATAAGCGAGCTGAAAACATCGCACGAAAGGAGGTGATATTAATTTTCTGCAACATTTAACCTTTAGACGGTTAAATATGCTTTATAAACAATTTGCAAAGCTCTCCGCGTTAATTCTCTATTAAATATCCGGCGAAATTTACAAACAAATAACATTTCATTTGCAGAATTTTACATATTTCGTATCCACGGAATCCTAATTTCCCGGGTCCGACCCAGATCCTATAAATGATACATCCTGTACAATGTGGTCATATCAAAGGAGAAAGGAGGGGAGTGTGTGATAAAGCTCTAGGAAGGGAGGGAACAGGGTGTTCTCGATCGTTAAAGCGCTACAGCGCCCCGCCACGTGATCCTCACGCCCAAGGTACTCATTCATAAACCTGAAGCTGCGCTAATTTTTCATATATCAATATGACGATTACTTGAAAAGCGAATCTTAATCAATCCGTGAATCAATTGTGCGCGAATTACATAAAAATATTTCTTTATTACATCATATTATTTATATCTTATGTCTACTTTTGTTTTTACATATTAACATTAAGGGATATTACATATTAATATTAAGGAAGAATCGCTTTTGTCTTGGATTAAATTATTTTACATTATATAAAAATATTACGATAATTTACTTTGAATCAATATTTCTGTATTGAGTAATACACGAATGCAGCAGTTCCTTCCATTCACGTATTTATTGTATTATATATTTATAATACAATAATATGTTATCATCATTGATACATTTAAGCATTTAAAGGATCCTTTAACAAATTAATTTTTTCGATAGTTTTCAATATTAAGATTGGAAGGATTTTTTTGAAACGGTCTAATTTTCAATATCAAATAATTATTTAGTTTGTTTATATACATGATTATTATTCTGTTTAGATAAATTGAGAAAAACAGGTTCATTAATGGCTTCTTTTTTCCTTTTTATGTTTTATGTCAATAATTATAATACATGCATCACTGAAATTGATATTTATTTACTCGTTCAATCAGGAAAATATAATAATAAAATTTGCACTTTTAACAAAGATGCAATTTTCACAGAATGTTAATTTTAAATCAGTCTATAGATATTAATAATTAATATGATATTTCCATAAAGAATATACAACACT